TTTTTTCTGTACAGTCGAAGGAAAATCCTTTGATGCGTGAAATATTTTGATCCACAAAAAAATAGATCTCAATTGTGTTGTTATTTAAGGAGCAACAAAAAGGTTCCAGCTACGAGGCTATAAATATTATTGCAGTAAACAAGAAAATATATTTATTTATTTTATTTAAGTAAAACCGATGGAGCCATAGTAAATGAATCAATTATAATTGGGGTTGTTTATCAATGATGTTACATAATTAGAAAGTGTCTAGATTTTAAGGGTGTTAAACTATGCACACTTGGTTACTTTAAATGATACAAAACCCCACAGGAGACGTAATTTATGAACGACCCTATCGATGAATTCGCATATTTACAATAACATAAAAATATGGCATCAGCTATCAAAGCCTAAACGATGAAAAAAAGGCTCCAGTTATGAAAACAAAAAGCGGATAAACAATCACGGCTAAATTGTTGCTGGTTTGCTAAATTGACAGTAAATTTGCTGACGTTTTGATAGTTTTATGTCCTACACTATCGTTTACTATGACAATATTGTTTACTTAATTTTATATCCTCAATAAAAAAATTTCACTAGCCATGTCGCAAAAAAGGATTATGTCTGTTGTTTTTCTGGTTGAATGTAGAAACTAGACACTAGAAAAAGTTTCAAGTGCTGTTTTCTCTCAGTTTGTCTCATTTCTAAAAGGATATAAATTTTTATTTTAAATCTGAGTAACTTCCCTCTCAACAACTTCCCTTTTAACTTTTTTGCCGCCGTAGCCTCTTAATTCTCTAATTGTTTAATGTATTGTAAATTTCTTGTTTCTTGCTCTGACATTCATTTAAGTACTTTTATTCATTGCTTAAAAGGTTGAATTTGTTAATGTGTATTTTGTGTCCCGAGATGTACATGCAGACTAGAACCTATAAACCAAAATTATTTTACGCTAGATCAAATCTATTAATTTGAAGTTAAATAATGTAGTTCAAATCCTAGCAATAACAAACATTTTGCAGCACCAGCACAATTGTCATTGCTTACAAAAACTTATGTAACGTAAAAAATAATAACAGAATAGAGTCCATGTAGAGCAAGAAAAGAGGTGGAGGAAATGTCAATTTATGAATGACTATTGCCCTCAGCATTCCACACAACAAAGAATGGCAATTGAAGTTTTATTGAAAATAATAAATAATTTCGATGTTTCAATTACTTCTTTCAATCCCCCACAATGTTATTTCTCTTTCGACATGAATGTGCCCTGTACTTAAAGTACAATAAATTAATCGATGTGATTAAGCTAAAAGACGGCTATAAATCCCTTGATTGCCTCAGTTTCTGTGGTGTGACTAGCGAACCTTATTTTTAAAATTTGATTTCACCATTCAAAAATGCCAATACATTTTTAAACATCAAGACCCTCCGTACTTTAAATACAGCAAGCATTCTCAAGTGAGATTTTTTGACGAAACGATGTGGAATGAATAATTTTAAAAGAAAGCATAATAAAAAAAAATTTTATTGCATTCAACAGCTTCGCGATCCATATCAAATTTGATTCCTTCCCTTCTTTGTTTGTCGAATAATTTTTCTTGCCGTCCTATTTTTTTTATAGAAGGAACAATGCAAGCGAGTCAAAGAATTCCATCCTTTATATAGGTTGCCTTCTGTTGAGCATATAATGTATTATATTTTATGGGTAATAAGTATGATGAAGGGGCAAATTTACAACACTAATTTGATTTGATTCCTTTCTTCCTCGACATTGTTGCCTTTTCTCTTAAAATCACAGTAAAATATGTTTGTTTAGAGAATAGAAATCTTAGGAAACGCAGTAACTAGATGGAGGATCATAAAGAGAACAGAGAAAATAAGGAAGGGTGAATTTGTTTCAAGAGGATTCCTTTTTTTTGTGCAGCATCAACAATTTGCAAACTTATGGTTTCTTAAGTGTTTGTTTCGAACAACAAATTGAGTACGGCAGAAGCATTTTTGCGTAAACTTTTCATGATGATAAAGATTTCCGCTTATTAGGTTGTTTAACAATTTTGATTTTTTTGGGGTTATTTTTGAATGTTGATATGCAGCATAGCTTGATTTTCGAGTTCTTAGACAAAGGCTAGCCCTGACAACAAAGTAAGTACCACTGATTGATATTTCCGCTAACCTAAGATTGCCGCAATCCAAACAGTTAACAAATCACAGACTTCCAGTCCATAACAGTCAGCATATGTATCTAATTATTTATTACAATCCCGGAATTTAAAATCAATATTTTTCTCACACCTTACAACATTATTCATTTGACTTTTGTACTTTTCAAACACCAGACAAACAAATGTTGTCCATTCCAATCGTGTGCTATTTGGGTTTAATGTCTAAATTAATCTCTTTCAAACTTAATTATTCAAATTCCACACTAATGATCATTGCATGCAGTTCCATGTCAGAATTCACGCCTTTTAAAAATATTTTTGTTGCAAAAATAAAAATATAAATTATAATGATTAAGACGTTCGGAACCAACTTAAATAACATTTGAATCATCTTTTGATATTTTTTTTATAACGAAATAATTCGAAGACGAGACGGATTTTTTCACACAGTTGGTGAGGATTTGGATTTTCTTGGAAGTGTCTTTTGGGATAACTGTAGAAGTGAGGTTTAATTTTTAAAAAAATAGGAGTAAAGAGGGGTCTGCAACTATGTCAAAGTTGTGGCTAAGAAGCCTATAGGGTTGAAACTAAGTATAATGCAATTTAAGATGGAAAAAATAGTATTTTTTGATGGACGTCACTCAAGGATAACCCAATTTTGATTCTCATAGTCTTTAATCTTCATGTGTGTTTCTGATGAAAAGATTTAAATGATTTCAGTTCTTAATAACAAATTATTAATCATAAAAAGAACTAAGAGTGAATTTTAATGAGCAATTAGCACAAAACATGCTGGCAAATCTAAAAAGTTGCAGGAACCATTTCAAAATATTACATAACCTCATTTATTTATTTCCTGTATGAGCTTAATCTGTATAAAAAATGTGCAATACTCAAGTTAATTGAAATGCCGCTTAAAACTGTTTACATAGAAGCCTTTATATTCCATAAATTCTATTATCCGCTTAAATTACATTCAATTTCCATCTCATATTTGCAGATTGTATTTACTCGCATGCATCATGTTTATTTTATTAATAATATTATTATTTCGGAATCAAAATTATACTTGTTAATTAAAAAGTCATAAATCATTTATGGAAAGGTAAAATTCTCAGGCAGCGGACGATGCATTATTGGACATTGTGTGCTTGACTGAATGCGATATTTTCTGATCATAAATTTTAGCATTCAATAATTTATTCATAGTGATTTTATTTTGTTTTGAGGAACTTATCAAATCAAAGTTAATGAAGCTTGACGAAGGAATTGACGGTCCGGATTTTCAAGGGATGGGAACTTTTAAAAGTTAATAAAAAATTGTTTTTTGAAATTCAAAGCTTTTTTTAAAGGTTTAAAAATTGATTTAAAATTAATTAAACACAAAATTTTAATTCGAAAATTCCCATCCCTTGCAAATTCACTACAATCTTTTTCTCATTACTTTTCCGCTCAACAATAAGCCCGTGGAAGGAGTTTATGGATAATAATTTGTTATGGCATCGTATATATCCGAGGATCATGTAGTTATTCAGGCATGAAAGTGAAAGGGAACAATCATTTTCCTCTTTTATCTCAGCGTATATCTTTCAGGATAACAAATTCTCGTAAAAGGAAAAATTCTTGTCCGAAGTACTTTTTTTTAATAGAAAGTAAAAGAGAAACTTTTTATCCTTTCTTTGTGGCTATAAAGGAATTTAAATCTTTTGAAGAAGTTTTTCCTTTCTTCTTCGCATTCTTTTTGTTGTGGGTCTCATCGCTTTTAAGATTTTTTTTTTCATTTCGCATAAACTTTTTGTTTGAAAAGATTAATAATGGAATTATGAAAAAATATGGAATTTAGAAATTTTAAGCGCTTGTTTTGGATTAAATTGAAATATTAAGGACCAGAATGAAGGGTCTTCATCAAAATATTGGATTGTTCTTCTCTTAGAAGTTTTAAATTTAAAAAAATCAACCAAAAAAGAATTGAAAATTGTAACGATAATTTTAAATTTGAATTTTTGATATTCTATCGAGTGAAATTTTTTGAATTTCAAAAATCCGTTACAAACAAAAACTTACCCAAAACTCTGGCGAACCCTCAAAAAAATCACGTTTAAAAAATAAATTTCAGCAACAACCTCAAAGTTACTTTTAACATGAGAAAAAAATAAATAAAATGATCCAAAATTGTTTTTTCCTTCCTTCAAAGCAGCAAGAAAAATGTTTGAAAAATTTATGATGAAGTATGATGAGCGTACGAAAAAATATGAAGTTAAGGCTTAATCTAGCACAACACAATGAGAACTTTTCGGACATTTGATGATTAAATTCTTCCCTTCAACAGATGGTTTTAAGTTTAATCTCATGAATAATGTATTTAAGCCAAATATGATTACAAACTTTAGGTTTAGGGGTCGTTCATAAATGATTTCTAGGTTTTCTATGAAACTTTCATTTTAATTTTTGTTTTAAATTTTTTCAGAAGTGAAATAAAGAGTCTGAAAATCTCAATCTTTGATAGACGTCATTTTTGAACTCTCGTTTAATAATTCCAAAAAAATTCATAAATCTCAAGATTAATTAATTTTTTGAAAAATTCAATCCACGTCTAAAAGAACTTTTAATTGAAATTAAATTTTTTCTCGCATTCTAAACTTCTTTTTTTGTATAAATTCTATCTCCTTAATGATGAGAAATATCTTGAAGACACAAAAAGAACGATTTTTATTCGCTTTTGTCTCGTCTGTATTTCGTTCCATTCCATTATTCATGGCACATCAAAAAAAAGCCCCAGTTAGATAGAAAAATGAGAAATTTCTTCTTTATCTTCTCATGTAAATTTATTCAGATAAAGAAAATGTTTTAACTTACCAATGGCACTGACTGGCCCGAAGACAGTATTATCATCAACTGTTGAACAATTCCAACGACGATGTTGGAACTGATGTTGACATTCCTGTGAACGAAATAAAAAAATAAGAAATTAAAAAAGGATTCAAAAAGTCATTAAATTAATGTTGAGGTGTCTCTTGTGACTCTTTTCGTACGGGTAATTTATGATGGTGCAGGAGCAATTTGGGACAGTCGAATATCTCTGACGATAAATTAAATTCATTTCAGTTCTGTAAAGACATATTTTGTTAATTAACCTCTAAAGTCATCCTGAATGAATTCATCTTATGAGCATTAATGGATATTAAATGAATTTTAAGAATGCCATTCTTTTTTGGATCATATAAAATCCAGCAAGTCACATCGAAGAAAGGTCAGAGAAGAGATAAATAATAAATTATCTTTCAATATTTTCTAAATGAATTGCTTTGTTCTGAACTGCATTGAATTTATAATCAAGTTCAGATTATTTGCCATGGTGGTCGTTGTGTGACTTGAATATAAAATTTTTGTTCGTCGTTGTTTAACGATTTAGATTTAAGTTGTTTAGCTTTTGATATTTTGATGATATTTGGAGGATTTTAATTTGGCTTAATTTTTTGGATTGGAACTTATGATTTAATAAATTCAGGCTTAAAACTTTGATTTTTGAAATTTATATTGATTAAAAACCTTAAACAATTAAAAACTAGTTTAACAATCATTAAAATAAGATTTTTAACATTTTAAAGATTTCATTATTTCAATAAATTAAATTTTCCATTTTTTATCCTAAATTCTTCAAAAAATTCTTTTTTTCAAGATACAAAAATAACAGAATTCCCCAAACATTCCACTTCCATCAAAATATTAAAATTCCAACAAATCAAATTATTAATAAAAAATATTTCCATTGAACATTAAACATCATAAAAACAACTTAATGTCATTTCTTCATCTCCTTTGATTTTCAATAAAAACAGTCTTTATTATTGCTTAAGGACGTTAATAGATAATGCATCATCTGCTTTATCAAAGGATCACAATGTTTTAAACTAGGGATTATATCTAAAATTTATGTAAATGTAAATATAGAGCTTTCCTTCACGTAATGAATCTTAAGTGTTTTGGAGCTAAGAGCTGCTTCTTAACAGAGAACGACGGAAATTTAGGCAAGATTTAAAGTTAAATGATTATATGAAAATGAATGGAACAAGAATGCTGTATAAAATGTGACACAATCGTGATTAAAAGTGAGATTTGTTGTGGTTTTTAGCATAGCTTGTTAAAAAATTATATTTCAACTTAGTTCTCATTTTCAGGGATGCATTAGAAGTATTTTTGGCTCTTAGATGCAGAACTAAATTAAAAACTATGAAATTTATGATTGTTTTGTATTCAATAGCCATGTTCTTCATATAATCGATACTCCAAAAAAACTGAATTCACAAAAAAGAGTAACATCCGATCACTCGACACATTCTCATAAACACGATGCTAATTTTATTATTTTTAACCCTCAAAACACTTTACGCTTTAATTAAATCCAAATATTTGCGCTGCACATTAAAATATCTGTGCAAAAAAAAAACTCTAATTTGTGGCTTAAAATACCACAGAAAATTTTTAATTATGTCGAAAAATCTCTCCCTGGATAATTAAATGGCAGCCTTTTGTGCAAAAAGTGAATTTAAAAATATTCTACATACAGATGTTTGTACAGACATTGACATTTATTTTGCCTGTTGTCGGAAAATATTGCTACACCTGCTTCCATATTGTATAAACATTGACAACACTGTTTTTGGTGCCGTACGAAAAATACGTTTTGTGCCAAAAAGTAAACAGAATATTAGTATTATTTGATAACTAGGGTGGCGACTCGTCAAGATTGACAAGTTAATGATGTAGAGTTTAACTGCTAAAGAACAATAGACAAAGCTAGTCGAAGGACTCTTTAAGGTTGGGTAAAGTATTTAAATGACAGACAAAAATTGAAAATTATAAAGCAAAACAGACTTTACGACATGAAAATGAGCGAGATTTCACATCTTAATGAAAATTAAAATGTTCCTTTTTTCATGACGTATGACACATGCATGTACGAGATGATATCAGCAACTTTTCTTAATTATCACAAAATTAGAATCCTAAAGCTTCTTTTCTGACTGTTTAAACAACTTAGTTCCTCTCAATGATGTTGACTTAACATTTCAAAAAAAAATCTCTGTTTAATGTAAAGTAATAACTCAAATAAACTCTTTAGATGAGTCAGCATGAAAAGAATCCTTTTTAAAAACTTTTTTATTACTTCAACTGTTGATCCTTGCTTGACTGTTCTTATTAATTTGTTAGTGAAATAGTAAAAATTTGTTTGACTTCGAATCGTAATTGCTGAATATTAAATTGTATGTAGATTTATTTTTCCCCGAGTTATTCGATGTTGAAAAGGTCATGGCGAATTTTCAACCCACGAAAATGTTGTTTTTAGGCGGATTTACAATGTTTTTGTAGGCTTTAAAGGTCATGATTAACTTTTTAGCTCACCTGAATGAATTTTTAATGATTGAAACGATTGAAACTTTAATTATCTTTTCTTATTGATATCAAAACAAAGTTTGGACTATAAAGCTCGGGATTTTTAAGTATAAAACCCAAAAGCATCATCTGCAGAAACATAAAGTCAAACAAACTTACAAATTTCCTTCACAAATATCAATTTTGTTGATCAAACTTCTTCATTTTAAAGTAAATCTATCAATATTCATTATTCATGATACAAAATTATGCATTCAAGTCAGAAATTTTAATTAGTTCTAGATTCACATGTAAGAAGTAAATATTTTCATTAATCTCAATTTTTGATAGGGTTTTGTTCATAAATGATGTAAGTCAAAACTTAGCCCTGTCATACAGTTTTAAAACCTTTAACATCCTTTAAAGTTGAAAATACGACTTCAAGACTAAAGCTGATCCATATTCCGTAATTTATAGAGAATTCGATTAGGTTTGAAGCATAGAATAGTTCTGTTACACTTTGGAATAAAGTTTGAATTTATAAAAATTAGGAGAAGTCAGAAGTTGAAGCAGGGATGCAATAATTTTTTGAATTACTCTGAACCAACAACGAAGGAACTTCTTTATATACCAAACTACGTCTATGAGACTCTTAAAGCATTCCAATATTTCATTCAACGGTGTAAAACTAATGAAATGATCAAAAATGATCAAAATGAAATTTATCAGCTCCACTTGATTTTATTGACATCATTTATGAACAACCCCCACAAAAAGACATTGGGCAAATCCGCGGGCAATAAAACGCTTCAAAATTTTGTTTTTCTCAAATTTCTCTCCTATTTGACTTTTAAAGTAATGATTTAATACCAAATCATGCGTAATTTTGAAAAATGAACAACTTTTGATACTTAGCACAATATTAAAACATTTAATTAAAGAGATATTTTGAATTTAATAGCGTTAATCGATCCTGCACACGAAAATTTCATTTTGAAAAATCCAAAAAAAATACATGTTTAACGAGTTAGACAATATGGCTTGCAAGTTATTGCATTGGAAATGCAATTTTGTATCATAAATTGACATCATTTCTTAAATATACGTACTCAATTTAAAGTAATTAACAAAAAATAGCGTTAATCGATCCTGCAGAACGTTTTATTGCGAAACTCAAGACAATGCATTGTTGCAAAACACACAATAATATTTAAAATTTTAGAAAACGTTGGAAAATTTTCAGTCCTACAATTCATACATTATCATACATATAACTGTGCTGAACATATATTAAACTTTAATTATAAACTTTTCTGCAATAATTTATTGATAAAAACCATCCAAAATAATTTAAGCAACAGAATAATAACTTTTTATGAAGAAATTTTAACGTATTTTATTTTTTTGAATTCAAGCAAGTAGAAAAATATTACAACTCGCTTTTTCCCAGTTCATGCTTTCTGCGGATTTGCCCCATTGCAAGATTGATCTCAATTTATTATTTACATTTTATGGTAAATAAATTTATTTTCGATATCAATTCGATGAATTCAGAAATGATAAGATAGTAAAAGGTCAATAATTCAATGCTGAAATTATTTTGAGGAATGAAATCTTTGAGATTTTCAATTAACATAAAATTATAATAATTTACATTAAGGACTTTAGCAAAGAAAATTAAAATAAATTGCCATAAGCTAACAGAACAACTTTAAAGACCCTCATTATGAATTGTTGACTTTTCCTTAAAAACTGCAACTGATGGGACTTGTCTTCACTCTTTTTAAACTCAAACAAAGAACAAAAAATTATATTTTTTTTGTCCAAAAAAGTTTCTTTTGTTGAAATTTTATAAAAAAATGTTGGAAAACTAAACATTTCATAAACACAGACAAAAAATAATAATTAATTTTTTTATAAGACAAAGGTTCCAACCTAAAATGGAATTAGAGAAAAAGGAAAAGTAGCTTATGGCTTCTGTTTTCCGTTTCATAAAAATCAACATTTTCATAAAATTTTAGAATTTTTTTCTTTTTTTTGATATAAGAAGGAAGTGAAGAAGATTCGAAAATGGAAGGTCGATTTTATGACTTTGAGAGGGTCGAATTAAAAATTTTTGATATGGAGTCGATTGGATATTGACTAATTTAGGGGAATGTGGTGCTAAAATATTTATTTTCATTTATTAAATGAAGGCACATTGGCTCTGGCTTTGCTTTTTTACACTTTAACATGCTTCATGAAGCTAGTCAGTGAACTTTTAAATAGCTGACCAAGAATCGATTAAATTATTACCTAGTGAAAATTTTAGACCTGATCCAGACTTTATTAAGTGAATCCAAGGACAGTTTCTAAGGCTTGCGCCATCCTAGGGCAGGAATGACATTCAATGTACTATAATATGGGTATAATTAAAATGACTCTGAGACTATGACCCTAGAACCCCCACCTACGAACTCTATATCAATAAATTGAAGATTCATAACTAAACGACGTCCTCAAAAACCACCAGAATACTGATTTCAATAAGAATTCTCAAGTCAACTAGAAAAAACCTTTCAAAACCGTTCACAACTAAATCTACTCCCAACTACATGTCAAAGGAAATTAATGAATTTTTAACAAATCTTTTCCAGAAGCACAGTTTCCATTTTCAACAGCTTGTCTCAAAAAATCTCATTACATCCGTTCCAAAAAGCACCTTTATTTACTCGACATCATTTTATTCCCAGAAATTCACATCAAAATTTCCATCACGTCAATCCGCGTTGGATTAAAAAGAAAATTTTTTTAAGAACACTTAATTCCGCTCACATGTTTCACGAGATGCATAAAAAAAAATTGTAGAAGCTCAAAGAAAAGCTCTGGCAGTCGATTTGAAATTGAAGTCTCTGCTGACTTTTCAAAATCGTTATTTAAGGCAAAAAAAGTAATCTACAGCACATGAAGCATAAACATTTTATGCCATAATGAATCGGAAATTGATGATGATGTAAATTTATGAAAATCAACCCTCCCATGAAGCCCATAATGATGTGTATGAAAAAGCTTATGCATCGAGGAACAAGAAAGTAGTCACAGGATGTAAAAAGCTCACAAATTTACATCAGAGGATCGGAGAAAAAGGGTCGAATAACCGCAATAGGAAAAAGGCTGTTTGTAATGAAAGCGTTCTGATTGAAACGACTGACCCTCAAAAAGATCTCGTTCCTGCATTCTTCTTATGTCTTTTGTTTATAGCTATGCATTATCAGCTTATGTGTGTGTCTTGGTAAACAGCAATATCTCACAATTTATATAAACAATTCGACAGCTTGCATTCTACATTATACCTTAGGTGTCAAGTGGATGTCCTGAATAGGAGAAAGAAAGCTTTAAGTGCTTTTTCATATTATACACGTGGAATAAATATTGTGCACATGAATGGATATGGAAGTCCTTTACACCATGTCAAACTCCTTTAACATCATTTCTCTTTCATGAGTTTGAAATTTGAAGTTATGGGTACTTGCTTGAGTTCTGGTTGCTGGATTATGACATTATAGTTTTGAATTTTTGAAAACCGTAATTTTTTGAATTTTTGAAAATCGTTATTTTTTGAACCTGTTATTATTTAAATTTTTAAAAACCGTTATGTTTTTAAATTACAAAAAACAGTTTAATTCCTGAATTTTCAAAACTTAACAAACTGACTTGGACTGAATTTTAATAATATTCTCGGAAATCACTCGAGTATCCCCAAACATCCACGTCAGCTCTTCTTATTTAATCCAAAATCAAAACTTTACGACATCACATCCTTTATTATTCTCAGTGCTGCACATGCACAAAGGGTTTTCTCTTCCATCCAATACCTTAGAATGCTTTTGAATCTTAAAAATTCAACGGGATATTGATATCGGTATGTGAGGACATTAAAAATGAATGGTGGATGTGAATTGAAAGTAATTTTCTCTACTTGAAAGGATTTTTATTTTGTGTCAACAGCTGCATGCTTCAGAGATTTTTCATAGTACTAAGCTAGAGAATTTTATGCAACATTATATATTTTTTCTCACAGCATCCCACGTGATTGTTTATTTATTGTTGATTGAGTTCTTTTGTTTGCTGTTATTGCATGTTTTTATTAATTTTTTATATGTAGAGAAAGTTGGAGGTGGAATAATAATTAAATGTCAGGTCAACTGCTTGAAGAGTTTTCAATGAGTTGTAATGTATCCAATGAAAAGAAGCATTGAAGCTTCAATGAAATTTTATGAGATTTAACGATTTTTTTGGGTTTGAATTTTTTTCCTCCTAAATTCAAATTTTTAACGACTTTATGACTTTAATCCACTAAATTCTTGATGCTTATAAGCAGAGAATTTCCACAACTTCACCTCATAATCTCAACCCGTACGAAAACATAATCAAATCTTCAACTTACCTGAATTGCAGCACGTGCTCCACGTGATATAGCTGGCATAATTCCAGTAAACTGCTCACACAACTTCTGCTGTCCTTTACTCATTCCACTCACATCGTAACAATGTTTTGGATTTAAATCGATTTTCTCATTCGTTTCATTTTTAACAGTCGATGACTCAATCGGAATCAATACGTCACGTTGCATTTTATTTTGGTTACGTCTTCTATTCGCCTTACTCCTTATCGCACGTGATAACTTCCGATTGTTGTCATTTTGATTGATGTTTGTATTACTTCCGTACGGTTTGTCATTCAAATTTATTATATATGGTTCACTTGATGTTGTCGGTGATGTGCCAATTAGCACTTGACTTCCATTATTATATGATCGCATTAATAATTGCCTTTGTCTTTGTTCACGTCGCATAGAACGCAATGGCACAGCTGTTGTCGTTGTCGGTATCATGTTTGATGCTTGTTGCTTATTATTCCTATTCTTCTTCCTCTCCTTTTTCGATTTCTTTTCATTTTTCTGATTCTTACGGCGTTCCTCTATCGAGCGTTGTCTCTTTTCTTCTTCAGTGTCTGGCTGCTGTTGATCGTTTTGTAAAAAGACTTGCGGCACAACTGTTACACGCTCAACTCTCGTATATGGATATGAGACATCACGTAAAATTTGTGAATTTTGTACGTTTGGCATATTTATCGATGGCTTCGTACGATACATTGTACCAATTGTCATTGGAAATTGCATCGTGGTAGTTCTAACTGATGTTGTCGTGACTTTTGTAGTTGTTGTTGGCTCTGGTGTCGTTGTCGTGGTTGTAGACTTCTTAAAAATTACAAATTTACTCTGAAAGCTTTTATCTACCTCACTATAATTTTTTAACATTAAAAGGTGATTCTTAAGATCTTCAATATTTGATTGGGGCTTTGGTGTCGTTGTTGGCGTTGGAATTGAACGTTCTCGTTCTATTAATGTTGTTTTCAATGCCAATGGCATAATCACTTTATGACGTGAATCGTCCGCATATGAATCCATTTGTTCATAGTGACTATTGGCATTAGCAATGATTTGTATCGTCGGATGATCACTATTATTGTTATTATTTTTCTGGATGTTGTTATTATTATTATAAGTATGCTCATCATCTTCAGACTTATGAATGTCTGTCACAATTGGCTTTATAATGTCCATCAAAATTTTATTTGTTGCTGACTTATTGAGATTCTGTTGCTGTAATTCTTGAATTTGTTGTTGCTGTAACTCATATAATTGCTGTTCTTGATGCTTTCGTGAGTCTTTTGCTTCAAGTAAATCACTCTGAATGCTGAATTTTGTTTTATTAATGCCTTTAAATCCAGTCTTCTCATCACGTCCAATAGGATTTATAAAATTACCCAAATTGTGCAAGCCATTTTTACGATGTCGTGGATCGGGATTTTTGTCGCTTAAATTAAGTGATACACTCACGTCTGATATCGTCTCATAATCAGCCGTGAATTCTATAAATGGAGATTTAATACCTAAGCACCTGTTGAATAAGGAAAGAGAGAATATTATAATTAATTGAATTAATTTGGAAATCATCGAAATCATTAAAAATGCTTAAAATATGAAATGAAAATTTGTCGTCCAATTATGGAATATCAATCTCTGTTTAATGAAGCTTTAAACCCACTTATCAGCGAGTGAGAAATTCGTATATCATTAAATACATGCTGATGAATATCGCTCACATCGTGTATCATAAATGCATCACAGAAGCTGAATTTTATATTCATTTTAATTACGTGAAAATGAGTGATGTGTAATTGAAACCATAATGGAGCCTTTAAGCGGTGTAAATTATGGAAGGAACGGAATTATTTTCTTTTGTGATCAAGTTATTATTTTTTTTTTTTTGACTTTAAAAATGTTTTAAATTGGTTGTTTTGACTTTAAATTAACAATTTGAATTTTGTTTCATATGAATAAAGTTGACTGCGATTCTTCATGATATAGAAATAAAAATTCAGCTTATTCTCTTTCTTTAAAGTCTCCTGGATCTCAATAAACCACTTATATAAATATTTTTCAGCACAACTGGATGATTCCTTTAATCATGTTTCTAGATAAAAATCCAATAAAATCTTTTTCCCTCGAATTTCTTCAGAATCGTATCAATGTTAAAGAAATAAAATTTCATCACGAACTAAGCTAATTTGCCTAATTCTCTATGGGGCCGTTCACTTATTACGTTATGTAAAAAAATGTTTTCACCCCCTCCTCCTCTTGTTACAATATGTTACAACTCACAACCCCCCCCCCCCCCCCTGAACGTTCATAATTTATTTTATTTTGATAATTTTTCATAAATCATTAAAAAGCTGGAAAATTTAAAAAAATGTATTTGTTGTGAATGTGTAAAAAAAATGTTACATACTTCTTGAACCCCCCCCCCCCCCCCCAACCCCCCATTGTTACATTTTGTTACAATTTTTCAAACCCCCCCTCCCCCCTAAAATGCGAACGTAATAAGTGAACGGCCCCTAAGCTAATTTGCCTAATTCCCTATCAATATAAAGTAAAACATCAATATTGACAGCACTAAAAAGTTGATTAACATTCATCAGCCGTTCCCTTTCGACGAGCTTTAATTGTTTATCAGAAGTATAAAAATTTAAATCTTTTGATTTACAATGCTTTTCTAAATAACTTCATCAAATTCTTTTTGTGTGTTTATTTCACACGTACATCATTTACATTATCAACTGACGCCCCAATGTCAATAACTCATGGAGTTGTCTTATCGTATTTCATACTATTAAGTTATAGTGAAAAGTTCTCGTGAAAAACAAATGAAAAGTGAGACAATAATGTTTTTGTGTCTGTTTCTAAGCAATGATGTTGTTTTGTGTACATTATTATTATTGTGGGTGGATAGAATGAAAGAGCTGAGATAACGACAAAAAAATTATTTTATTGCAGTTATAAAAATTTCTTATTTTAGTCGAGTCGAGGAAAGCCTACATGCAACTATTCAGGACATAACAAGTGTCAAACGACTTACATGACACTCGAGTATGTCTTAATTAAATTTTTCTCAGAAAATTAATTCATTCATGAAAACATTTTCAACTGTGGATGCAAATGACACTTGATGCAGTCAGATAGTAAGTGAGAAATCACGGGTGGGTCTATTCGTAAATGATGGGATTTTTTTTAATCCCTTCCAACTTTTTCTCTTTGCATGATATGTCAGATAACTCAGTTTAAGCACTTCCTTCCCTAATAAATAGAGGACATCATTTATGAACGAACCCAATGGTACATAATGATTTAACAGCACAGATGAAATTTCATTCTTGCAACATAATTCATGATGAACTATGCAAAAAAAAGTATTTTTGTTCAAGTGGAATTTCACTCTCGTGAACATGTAGATTTTTTAATATTTTTGCATAATAGCTAGCTGCCGTAAGCACATTAGTTTTTCCATACGTTCCTGGAAATATTTTTTTTTCGTACTCAACTTATCTTTTGCACGAGTAATAAAATAAAGTGGTTCATTAATGTTGATGAATGTGTATGAGTCGCCTTAGCGAGTGAAGTAAGTATGTGCATTACGTAGTGCAGTGTGTCGAGAATGCAATTATGACAATTTTCTTTCTCAAGTATGAGACTTGGCACTTTTGCTGTTGGGTGTAAGCCTAGCACTTTTCTTTTTCTATGCATAGATTGTAGTTGCACTGAGAGAAATGTTGTTTCATTGAAACATTTCTTAAAATAATTTGAGTTGATAGTTCTATACCCTTTCAAAATTTGGATTTGCATAGTTTCACACCATTTCAATATCTGGAATTATTTTGATTAGTACCCCTGAATTTTCATAGATTTTTATTTTTTTGAGTTATTGAATTGCATAGTTTCACACCTTTCTAAGAACTAGGAATGACATAATTTCACTCCCCTTAATTTTTTAAAATGACTTATTTTCACACCCCTTAATTTTTTTAACAGCTTATGTTCACACCCCTTGTTTTTAATTGACTCATTTTCACACCCCTTGATTTTTTACTGACTTATTTTTGCGCCCCTTAATTTTTTAAATGACTTATTTTCACACCCCTTGTTTTTAATTGACTCATTTTCACGCCCCTTGTTTTTTAATTGACTCATTTTCACACCCCTTGATTTTTAACCGACTTATTTCACACCCCTTAATTTTTTTAACTGACTTAGTTTCACACCCCTTTTTTAAATTTATTTATTTTTACATCCGTTATTTTTTTGTTATTTTTCACATAGTTGCATAACCTTTAAATTTTCTTAGAAAATTTCAGATACTCAAAGTTGCCATTCAGTCATAGATTTTCCCAGAGAATTTTCCTGAGTGCCAACTCATATATTTTCATATCGTAACATAAATATGGAGTACAACATATGATAGTGAATAATAACAGACACTTATTATTCAGCAATTTTTCAGCTCTCTAAACAGTGAAGCTCATCAGAATTTTTTTATGCATTCATAAGCCTTTAGCGAACTTTGCATGTCGTACCCAAGGTGAGATGAGAATTATGAGCAACTCATTTTTCTTTCACACATCATTCTGTAATTTCTTTTCAAATACCGTCGATCATTTTCCATTCAATAGGCCTATGATTGTAGCTTGATAAATTGAAATCGATTTAATTCATCTGACAAATTTCTACTCATTTTTTTCGTCGTCGTCGTCTCACTCTATTATGCTGTCTATTAAAATAAAGATGAAAATGATGTTTAGAGGAAATGGTCAATTTGCTAGTCACACGTGTGATATTTTATCGATGAAAATGTTTTAAGTGACTCAATATTTTATGGAAATTTGTCAAGAGAAATGTAGCTATTCGTCATTCTGTATACAATGGAATTTTAGAGACCATTCTAGAATTATTTTTTTAGAGTTTCAGATTCCATCGCTTCCATTTTACATCAAAATGAATAAATTTACTTCTTCTGTTTCAGTTTATTTTACATTTGTAGATTACTGTAATCCATAATGGATAATCCCTTTGTACCATGATGATTGCTTTATGCTATCATGATTTGTGATATGTTGTCTCTTATGCTGAACATGACATTTTGATTTATGGGTTCATGAAAATATTTAAATCAATGTTTTTTGCTTGGATTGTTCGCTAGTGGTGATATCTAGTATGTTTATAGGATAGGACTGGATGATCCAAAAATAAAGTAATCGTGTAGCCAGGGTTGCGATACAGGCACCTGTGCACAGGTGGGAACCTTACAATTCCTTCATAATTTGTGAGATTTTTATTAGAATTTGTACGGTTTTGTCACAAAAACCTTATAAATTACTAAGGAATTGTACGGCTCTCACATATGCACAGGTGCCTGTATTGCAACCCTGCGTGTAGCTTAGATCATAGCATTAACATTGAAAAGAGAAAAAAAAGATATAAATTGGGGATTTATTCAAGTCATTAAAATGATTATCCGTAGCTTCGTGGCTGCTTTTTTTTGACAAAAATATTTTCTTTTAATTTAATTTTCATTTTCTTTTGAATTTTCTTCAAGGAAGATGTCACAATTTGCAGGGGATTTATAGAGACACCAAAAGTCTTTCTGTGTGCTTCGTTAATAACATGTCTGACATCTCTTCCCTATTTATTTGATGTAGATTCGCATGTGTGCAAATTAACTGCATTAATTAAGTGCGAAGAAAATTTTACTTCTAGTCACATTAAAAATTACTTCCAATTGAGTCACGTCTCAGAGATTTTTAGAATGCTTTGGAATTGTAAAGTTAATAGCCGTGTTCTTCTTGCACGTGTGTTTAAGAAAAAAAAATATATAAACTCGAGGAATCGAAATCCATGAAAATATATATTTTCTTCTGATCTCGTTTAATAAATCACAACTTTTCAGCTGTGACGAATGTTGAGTTGGATATGAATTAAAGATTTTTTCTGAGGCATAATTTTATGAAGGAAATGGGATTAGGTTGACTAGGCTGTAGAGTGGAGTCTACAGCTGTGGGTCATCGCTGAACATTCTTTAAAATACAACTTTCCAAAAACCTTTAAGTCAGAGCTGCGAAACAGGCAACTGTGACAGGTGAAAAACCTACAATTCCTTGATAATTTATAAGGTTTTTCTAACAAAACCACACAAATTATCAAGGATTTGAAAGGTTCTCACCTGTCACAGGTGAACTGTTTCGCAACTCTGCCTTTAAGAATTTTTCAAAAAAAAATTTTAAATTTAAAAAGGCCGTTAACATTTGAATTTAAAAAATCCGTTAAAATTTTAAATCCAAATAATAATCTTTCTTTATTTCAAATTTGGAATTATTGTAGTTTAAGTTACATTTCTTTTAAATCCAAAAAAGCTGAAGAAATTTGAATTTGTAAAACCGTTAAAAGTTTCAATGAGTTGAAAATGCGTTCTTAAAATAATTCCAACTTATCGTTCAAGCGAGATGAAGCAAGAGCATATTTTTCAAAGGGATTATCGAAGAGTTTCCTTGGTTTTTCGTTCACTTTTCTAAAATAAATTTTCCTTACAGCCGTGATAAATTTTTTACTTTTATAAGGATACACAGGATTTTAAATTTCATCCTCACTCTGTAAAAAGTGACTGTGACTAAGATTATGTCAAGTGGCTTTTATTTTATGAAAAATTATTCGATAATTCTGGTAAGTCATTCATTCTCTCTTCGGATGGATTAGAACGGAAGGGAAAATAAATTGAAGCTCATTGTTGCATGCGATTTTCAGAACGGCACTTCTCCCTTCCTCATTTTCAACATTC